GAAAGAGAGCAGTACTGATCACAGGAAAAGTAACTTAGCTGATGATACGCTGCGTGTGCTCACACCTGACACCTGTGCTGAGCCATCCAGTGCATCTGGATATGCTATAATGACCTATTTTCAGAGAGTTTGGAGACTGCAACTAGTAATCTTATTTCCAGAAGTTACAGAAAGGGTAAGGCACTATAAAAAACTTACCTTTAGATTCGACTGTATCATTGGCAACCACATTGGTATGAGCTGTAAGAAGAGACATATTTTGTTATTATACAATTGACTGCAAACATGCTCCGGTTCCTGTGAGACAGAGAAGGTTGTATCTAATGCATTTAGCTGTCTGAATAGACATTGCCTGAACCACAAAACTGAAAATGTGGTTATTTTTCAGTGATGCACATGTTTTGGGCAGGTAACTCTCAGAGGTAAAGAAGTCAGCTTCCCTTGTTTGTAGTTTGCTGAATGACCAGGAGCAGTCACTGCTCTCCTGTTCAGGGCAATGATGAGAGTACAGAATAAAAACTTGTTAAAAGGAAATCACTTCTTACTTTCCTTCTGAGGGTGTTTCTGTATGTGCAATACTGGAATAAATACAGTAAACATTCCACATGGCAAGGTATACATCAAGAGCTGAAACAAAACATGCAGCAGAAGTTCCTCATAATAGGCCAGATATTTAAATGGTAACGAGCATTTTATAAGCCACTAGTCACACCAGTCCTTTGCTGCAGAATGTAACCTGTAGGCCTGGGAGCACAGGTAAAAACTCTAACTATCCAGAACAACAAGGCAAGGAGGTCTGTGAATCTGTCACCCATGACTGGACTGATAAGTATTACAGTCTCCTGCTCTACAGAGAACTTTTATTCCTGGTTCAGTATAACATGACAAGCTTATGGAAGACAGAGAGGAATTTCTAGCAAAAGTATTCATGTTCTCCAATATTAATTTAACCACTGAGGTTATTGTTCTAAAATGTTCCTCCAAATGACATTAAAATCTGCAATTTGCCAATTACACTACCAGGAGCTGCAAGTTAAACCTAATCACTATTGACAGCATTAGATGAAGTGCTGTTTCCTTTGTGCAAGGAACGATAATTGTTTCAATTTCAGTGCTGTTTTGGTGGAGAATCATATGCAGCTCTGTCAGGACTGATTACTTAGTCTACCACATGAAGAACCATATTCAAACCTCAGCATTTACAGACAGATAAATGCCAAAATAGGTGGAATGCAGCCAGATGCTGCAAGTTCCTTCCCTGGGCTCTCGCACTAATGAAGTACTTAGTAAGATCCAGTGACTGCAAGCCCTGATGTGGTTTTTAGAGAGAAGGGAACAGGTAAGCACACTCAGAAGTCATGTTCCATGCCCCACTACAATCAACAAAACGCCACTGCAAATTTCATCCAGCATTAATGAAGTTCCTACGGAGGTAGCCAATGGTCATAGGACGGGTGTCAGAAGTACATCAAGAAGGAGGGAAGCCAGGCAGAAAACTCAGGGTACCCCTCTGCATCTGAACCAATTCACTGGACATCTTTTACAGTCAGCTGACGGAATCAAGCACTTCTAACATCCTGTTCATCTTGTCCTGAAGCAGGTATCTAAAACAGATCAAGATGAATCATGCCCAAAAATACCTGCTTATCTCCACTGACCATAAAGGCCACACACAGCAACAAGCTCATACTGATATCTACGCTGTAGAGGTCTACGGTTAGATACAGATCGTTGTCCTCCAGCACCACTTCTGTCTTCCAGGGTCTGGACACATTTAGGGAAACAAAACATTCTGCTGCAGGCACAAGCAAGCAAACCGTCCACTCCTACAGCTGCCACTTAGATAAATGAGAGGAGACAACATTTTTATTGAAGCACTTGAGTTTTATTACCTAATCCCCAGCTAGCCTTTTCTTCGCAAAGGAAGAATACATACAGCTAGTTAGAAAGAACAGCTGGAAGAAGAGACTGCTGTCAGACACTGTCAATTTTTTTGAGTTTATATTTTCAACAGAATTATGTTGATTCCAGTGCAAGTTTTGATGGAAACCAGGCTGGAGAACAGGCCACTGTGCTTTTCTGGCTCCCCAACTCAGCTGCCTGCCCAGTTCTCTAGAATTCTACCCATCAGCTGCTGGAGCTGCATAAACCCCCTGCATCTCTGGAGAAGATGCTGTGGTTTGCTGAGCTGCTCCCTTCACTACTGTAGGCTCCCAAATTCCTCAGACATACATCTGATGGTCCGACAGACAGCTGTGATCCGCAAAGAGCTAGTCTCCATCATCAATGGCTGTCCTAGGGTGGCTATTTTCCCAGTTCCTTTGACACAGAAAAACAGGAGAAAAGGTGAACACTTTCATTGCAGCCCTCCTATAGCAGAATGGAAATTTCCATCAGAGGAAGATATAATGAATTAAATATGGATGTGATTATGTGTGCATCTGCGTAAGTGTGTGTGCATATACATATATATCGCTCCAAATTAGAAAGAAAAATAAATACATAATGGTTTAATTGTTTTCACAGGAACGAAACTCTGTTTTCCATTCCAGATTGGTAAAGACAGTCTAATATCAGGTCCAAAAAAAATCCCCTGAGAATACTGGGAATTCCTCAAAGTCTCTAGGAAGCAACCAAGATGTGTCTCAGTGCTATCAGCCTGGGTTTAATTTAATAGCAGAGGCCAACACAATACCAGGAGTAGGAAAGTTCACAGCAGCCACACAAGGAGGAGATAAAGGAGTGCTTGACTCAAGCATAACGCAAGCTCTTCCTTCAGTGAAGGAGAGCTGAATTGTTTACATCCTCTCTCTCTCTCTCATTTTAGGACATATTTTCCCCTCAATTGTCATATTGAAAATGGCCACCTAACATAGCAATCCCATAAACCGCCTGGCGTCATGTGACATGCACCACCTTCTCACTGTGGTGTATTAAAAATATGTGCATGTTAAACCATAGAACAATAGAATGGTTTGGGTTGGAACGGACCTTAAAGATCATCTAGTTCCAAACTCCCTGCCATGGGCAGGGACACCTTGCAATAGACCAGGTTGCTCAAAGCCTCATCCAGCCTAGCCTTGAACACTTCCAGGGATGTGGCATCCACAGCCTCTCTGGGCAACCTGTTCCAGTGCTTCACTATCCCGTCTGGGAAGAACTTCTTCCTGCTATCTAAATCTCCCCACTTTCAATTGAAACCTGTTACCCCTTGTCCTATCACTACAGGCCCTTGTAAAAGGGCCTCTCCCAGCTTCATTGTAGGCCCTTCAGGTACTGGAAGGTGCTATAAGGTGTCCCCAGAGCCTTCTCTTCTCTGGGCTGAACAAGCCCAACTCTCTCAGCCTTTCATCATAGGAGAGGTGCTCCAGCCCTCCGAGCATCTTTGTGGCCCTCTTCTGTGCAGCACCTTATTCCTTAAGTGGAATAAAAGACACTGCAGTAAATAAAACTACATGAGTGATAAATGGTCAGGATTTATCAGTGCTACTGTGCTCAGTTCCAAGAGAAGGTCATTGGGAGTTATTAATTTTGCTGAATGAATCTCTAAAAGAGTGTTAAGAAGTTCTGTTTAAAAAACTCTCTCTCACTACACTATATCCTTTCCTTTGGCAAAAACTAAACCTTGTTTGAAATACGAATGCCTAAAAAAATGTAAAGCTTTAAAGCACAGGATAAAATTACTTCATTATCAAAAGGCAGGGCAATAAAAGAATGTCTATAATGAAGCAAGCTACCAAAAAGCTGACCAGTCAATTAATATTAAAAAATTGTTACCCTTGCAGACCTCTGAAGTAGGAGTAACAAAGCTGAGATCCTCTTCACAGTCACTGAAGAAGAGGCAGTCTCAAAATATATCTTTTTTTAATTATAGTGATGCCACTCACTCACTGGTTCCTGTGTGAATAAGCTTTACACTTCTGCCTCTTTGAAAATTTAGCACCTTAACACTGCATTTCACAGGTTTATGAGCTTGATTTTGTAGTAACAATGTTCTTTTAACCTGACTTAGCATATTATTGAAATATACTCTCCAACATAACACCCTGAAAGCATTCATTTGAATTGTGACAGGAATTTGGCCCTGAAGGACTCTCTTTTCACAGCTTTAAAGCCATTCTTCATCCTTGTCAAATTCTGGACATCCTGGATTGGCTGAAAGAGAAGCCCATATGTCTTCCAGGGACAGCCATGAACACTTTAACATCCCATAGTGACAGAGTTTCTGTAGCGAATCAAATCATTACTGACTATAAATGTGTATTTTCAAAATGAGTGTGAATACCTTCATGCCAGTTGACATCAAGAGCTTCAATTTTAGCTACTTGTTTTTCAATTTCTACTTGACTATAAAAGACTGGGGTAAAACAACACTCAGAAGTTTCCTTTAAGGCAACAGAAGAACTATATAAACCAACATATTTGTTGTGGTTTAACTCCAGTGAGCAACTAACCACCACACAGCTGCTTTCCCACATTCCCCCTCCCACAGTGGGACGAGGGACAGAATCAGAGGAGAAGGTAAGAAAACCCATGGCTTGAGATAGGAACAGTGTTAATACTTGAAAATAAATGAAATAAAATAATACTAATACTACTACTACATAATGAAAATAATAGTACTAATAATGATAATATTTAATGAGAAGGAAAACAGCAATGAAAAAAAATCCTAAGTGATACAACTGCTCACCACCTTCTGACCAATGCCCAGCCTGTTCCCAAGAAGTGAGAGAGACAGCCCCTGGCCAACTTCCCCCAGCTTATATACTGAGCATGACATTTTATGGCATGAAATAACCCCTTGGTCAGTTTGGTACAGCTGTCCTGGCTGTGTCCCTACCAGGCTGTTGTAGAGAAGAAGCTGGGAACACAGGTCAGAATGAGAAAATGAAACAGTGCTTGGCTTAATGTAAACAGTGTTTGGTAACAACTAAAAACATCAGTGTGTTATCAACATTCTTCTCAGCACAAATCCAAAACATAGCCTCATAGTAACTACTGCGAAGAAAATTAACTCTGTCCCAACCAAAACCAGCACAACATTTCAGTTAAATTCAGAGTGCATTTAACTACTTGGTTAGCTGATATTTTATGTAAAAACTCCCTTCGGATTAATGTAGTGGTAAAACATGTAAGAAAGGCTAGTAAAATTGAGTTGTGCTTGTGAGGATACCCTAAGCCTTTGGGGATCTGTTCTAAAAACACTGTGGTGACCCACAATAGACTGACCACTGATTTCAAAAAAAACAATTTAACATGAACAAGGCATGCAGGATTTGATCCTCTAACCAAAGAATACCCTGTTATATATCATAGGGGAGGAAGATTCACTATCAAATAATATTTGACTAAGTCAGACATGTAGGCATATAATAACAAAAAAACCATCGTGGCACAAAGCTTTCACGATCAACCTAAAGGAATGTGAGGATCAGAACACTGAGGTGATCTGCAAAGGATCTATCATGATTAAAAGCTACAGAATGGCTGAAAATTCAGTCAGTACCTGAAGGTTCTCACAGACAGTGACACCAGTTGTGTCTACTAGAGGAATAAGACCATTGCAGCAATCAAAGAAGGAAGTAGATCAGACATTAATTTTAATAAAATCAGGAGACTTTGGATTTGATATTATGATCTAGTCTTACTTCTTAACAGATTTTATTTTTTCTTATGCTCTACTAGGTTTTATTTCTGCATTAACATTCAATCTCAGCTTCTTCCACTTTCCTTATTGAGCGGGAGAGTAAGCAGTGGACATTATGCGTAGAAAACACAATAGACAGGCAACATCATTAACTAAATAGTCATGGTGTGGTATGCCTACCTTTACAAAGATTGTAGAGTTGCATTCCTGTAAGGCCTCCATTAAACTAATCACATGCAGGCACACCATTTCCACCATCTTAAAAAAAAAATCAAGCATAAAACCAAATTAGTCTCCAGCATAGCAGTCTAGTAAGGTAAGCCAATAGTCTCTAGGAAGAATCTTCCTGTATTTGCTTGGCAGTTATACTGAATCACTAGATGTGCATCTATTAATCACTGACATACAAGATTAAATGTTACACGAGCACGTAAGGGACATTTTTCTTTATTTAGTTTTCCCCTGATGTGGCAACACCTATCTGTTAAATCTTTCAAAGTGCATGATGTATTTTAATTCGTACCACACATCAAAACAAGTTGCCTTTAGCTTTGTTCTTTTCAGACATCATAAATCCTTTTACATGCCTCTGCTGTGTCGTTCTTATCAGTCAATGTGTCAGAAATTGATATTTTTATTAACTGAATCTTTGAAAATTAACATACCCACAAAAACAGTCTTTCCCCCAAACATCAGAAGACAATTTATTGTTTTAAACTGGTAGATAGTCCATTATTCTTTTATTTTGTACCATAAACTATGACAGATGCAAATATCAGTTATTTGGTAGTAGACCACATTTCATGTTTTATATTGTGTAAATTCATAGGTACAAGACAAATTCCCTGAGCCAGCAGTGAGTATTTACAGTGCCTGTCCAAACCATGTGTAAATTCCCCTCGACAATAATAAACTTAGCTTTTATGTAGTGCTTTTCATCTTCAAAGCGTTTTACAAACACTAACTAATTAACATCACAACACCCCTGTGAGACGTGTGAGTATTATTATCTGCATTTCACAGAGCAATAGCTGAGGCAGAGAGTTTAATAGCTTGAACTAAAGCCACATAATGAGACACTTTCAGATTAAGGACTGGAACTTGGGACTTCCAGGTCATATTCTTGTCCTACAGCTTGACAAGAAGCCTTTGTGTCTGACAAAACAACTGGCTAGCTAGAAGCATTATGCACATTTCCCGTTCATTCAAGTAGAGCTTCATGCACTACTGTTCCCAACAGTGGCTTGAAAACCACAGAGACCTCACTAGATCTCAGAGGCTAAAAAATCATTTAAAGACAACTTTAGGTGGTCCTTGCCTGATGTGGGCAAGATATGAGGGAAAAATAAGTGGTTCAAAGATATTCAAGTGCCGCCCATGCAATTCCAATTGAAAGGGCAAAGGTCCATACCTGCCTAGGGTGGAAGATACTTCACATGAGGAAAGGGGAATTACATAAAATAGTTTCCATATAGACAGTAGGTCTATATTTAAAAAAGAAAAAAAAAAAAACCCAACCAAACAACGAATGAAAATCCCAAACCTTAAGAGCACCTGACTTAGAGGACTGGGCCATGGATAAAGATATTTCTCACTCAAAGCTAATATCAGGTTCTCCAGAGCCAGAGCTACTAGTAACCATCACGGTTAAAGTTAGAAGTTTTGCCAGTCATGACAGACTTGTTCATGACTTTCTGGGAAGTGGCAAACACAGCACGTCTCGTCCATCAGAAGCAAGCTCTCAACCCTAAGTCTGCAGGCACAGAGAACCATTAGTCAGTGGGAAGCACAGGTAGCACCTATGAGAATGTTGCTGGAACCCCCCTGGGTTCTTACTGTAGCAAACCGCTCCAGCCACAGTGAGTAGTTGAGGTAAATAAATTCCAGAAAATGGTATGGATGATTTCTGGAGGCCAGGTTTCCACCAAAGATGTTATATCACTCCCCTCCTCAGATGGGCAGGGGAGAGAAAGTATAACAAAAGGCTCATGTGGAGGACAGGGAGGGATCACTCCCAGTTACCATCATGGGCAAAACCAGACTCAACTAGCGAAAAGAATTAATTTATCATCAATCAAATCAGCGTAGGATAATAAGAAATAAAAACTAAATCTTAAAAAGAAAACATTCCCCCTACCCCTCCCTTCTTCACAGGCTCAGCTTTGCTCCCAATTTCACCACCTCCTCCCCCCAAGCAGCGCAGGGGGATGGGGAATGGGTGTTGCTGTCTGTTATCACGTCGTTGCTGCTGCTGCTCCCTTCTCATGGGGGAGGGATCCTCACACTCTGCCCCTACTCCAGCCTGGGAT